TGATTGAACCAAGCATCTCTTGTACTAAAACCACTCCGAGGGCCCCTAAACCACAGGGTTTGGGGAGCTTCCGAGTTGGCAAGTGACTCCACGTGCCGGGAAGCCGGCACACCCCAATGTTACAGCGACAGAGGATCCATACTCAGGACCCTTTTACATCTCATCCCATGTATCTCTTCATTTGAACAGTCATTTGTATCTTTTATAACAAACCAGTAAATGTAAGTAAAGTGGCTTCCTGAGTTCTGTGTGTCGTTCCAGCAAATTACCAAACCAGAGATGGGGATTGTGGAAAATTTCAATTTATAACTGGTCGGTCAGAAGCAGGAGTGACCTGATACTTGCAGCTGGCATGTGAATTGAGTGCAGTCTTGTGGGCCTGAGCCTTTGTACTTGTGGAATCTGACACTAACCCTGGGTAGTAAGTGTCAGAATTGAATTCAATTGTAGGACACAGAGCTGGTGTTGGAAAGTTGGAGAATTGGTTGGTGCGAGAAAAATTCTCTTATGTAGCTTCAGAATGAATCCGACAGTAGCAGAGCTAGGATTCAAGGCTCTGTGCTTTGACTTTTAAGATCTCAGCGAGCAAACTATATGTATTCCTCACACCATAGGACCCAGGAAAGACCCTTTGAAAGCAGCAGATGGGGAGCCAGTACTAGAAGCAATCTGAGATCTCCCTGTGGATGACTTTAAAGGTCTCACTAGATGATAAAAGAAAATGTGGGCACATCCGAAGGGGAAAATCAAGAAGATCGTGTTAAATGCTTCAAGAACAATTAACGCATTTCAACATTGGAGCTACTGTGTGCAGGGGCTCTGAACATGCTCTGTGCTCTGAGGGTGGGCCCAGAGAGAGCGCTCTAAGGGAGGCCTCGGGGTGGGGTTGGGAACACAGTCGTGGAGGCTGTTGGGAAAACTTGCTGAATGTGTGTGTTGGGAAGGCACCTCTTGCAGGGACTCAACTCAAGGAATTAAAGCTGAGCAGAATCGATCTGAACAATGGAAGTCTTGGACAGATCTGGAAGTTTTGAAAAACTTTTCAAAATAGAATTTAGAAAAGTATGAGAAGAAAACAGATGTCTGGGCTGAACAGCAGAGAGAGTGAGCCCTCCATAAGACAGGGAAGGGATGGATGTCACTAGGGAAAAGGCAGGTCAGGCCATTTTAGCTTTACTGGCTCTGCTCATTTATATAGATTTGGGGGGAAATAGGAGAAACATTGGGGCAAACCTCCAAGAGATCTCAGGCTGGACAGGCAAGGTCTGAGGGGAGCAGTGCGGGGTGCGGGGTCAGACCTCAGCTCCGTGGTCAGCAGCTGGACATTGGCTCAGCTGAGACAGAGGAAGAGCCCAGATGGCGTCGCGAGCTTGGCAAAGTCCAGAGAAGGAAGAGCAGGAGTCACAGGAGGATGGCGATCAACATATCTGGGATTAGGAACACTGGGCGTAACGGGAAGTGGAAATCGAAATACATCTTAAATACGTCTATGAATACCATGGGGAAGAAGGGAGTTGCAAGTAAGCCTGGGGACAGGAGGGGACCCATTTTCCACTTGTGAATTTTTCACAAAGGCATGAATATTTCAAAGGTCGTTCTCCAAAAGGGGAGGCAGGATGTGGAGACTGGATCGTGTCCCCCAGGACGCAGGGAGCAGTGCGCTACATGAACCTCTCGACGTTGGCTCTTTCTCAACACCACACATGATACTAATCAACTGGCCATGTAGAGACTGAGCTATAGATTGTCTTCTCAGTCTTCCATGTCTTTGCCGTCTTTCCTGCATCTTCCCTTGAGCGATCACATCTCTGGAGTGGCCATTCATTGGCGATCGCCATGCAATACTACGTTCTGGGTTCTGGGGACTCAATTTGGACCCGAAGCCTGGGCTTTGCTTGTGTTTTCTAAATTCTGTAGGGCAGGCTGCCGAGGAGATACGGTTCACATGCCTCCTAAAGTGACTTCTTGGGAAGAGCGGGGCACTAGAGGGATGCAAGGTTGGATTAACTGCACTTGGGAGGGACCCAAACAGTGACGGCTATTGTGCGGACTGTTGCTACTCTAGATGGCAGGCCTCTATTCCCTGTTGGGCCGACGATGGACACAGGAGGAACTCAAGGAAGGCAGAGCTGCAGACTAGCGTTTGGATTTTAATTTAAAGAGAAGAGGACTTTATCCTCTTGAACTTTCATTTCTCCCTGGATACGAATCAACAGGAGGTTTATATTCCAATGCACGATAGCACTTGGCACCTCCTTTGCTGTCAGGAGGTGCTCACTGATGACTGGTGAATTACCCCTGGACACTGTGGCTGAATATCGTGGGAGAGAGCGAATTTTGGCTGGGGTACAGTGTAACATGGATGTTAATGCACGAACTCCCCTGCTCTAACCCGGGGCGTCCAGAGGCTCGAGCGAAGCTGTATTTTGCATGGGTCCCAGGAGGGCGATGGTTCTTTAAAGCACGTGGCCCTGGACACTGTCACTGTCACAACCCCTTATAGCTCCCACGCCCAGAGTGCCCAGAGTGGCCTCCGAAGTCTGCCCAAGGCTAGAAGCCATGGACTGCATCTCACAGTGGATGCTCTGCAGCCTTTGTTTGCTGTTGTAGCTTTAATGCAAAGGCATGAGAGCAAAGCTCCCAGAGCAGAACCCCATTCTCACTCCAGGGCCCCAGTTCAGAGATCCAGGCTAAAACATCCTCCTGGACACACTGAACCATTTCTTAACACTGAGCTCCCGGGGCACTCCCTATGCTGGATGTTTCCAGAAGCTGTATTGTGGCTATGGCGGCGCTCACAACATTGGCATTTTGCTGCATGTCTTTTGTTTTGTTTTGTTTTAATTGGGCAAGTAGCAGAAGTCTATGAAAGTAAGTATGAAGAAACCAATGGGGCGGGGGGAGGAGGGAAGCAGGTGGAGGGCAGTGAGCTTATCAGATTTTGTGATTTTTAAGGCTTCAGACCATAGTCTTCAAAGTGACTGCTGGCCACCAGACTTAGCTCTTCTAGCCAGCAATGAACCTGGGGCCACTTCTGAAGGCAGGGACAGGTTGTCTTAATGGCCCGCAGCTTCCTCTGCCTGTGTGATGATCACAGGCTGGGTGCTGAGACCTGGGTTTAGGCAATAGCCAAGTTTGGAGATGGTTGGGGAAGGGTCACGTCCCCTCCCTCTAGCACATCCCCATGGAGGAAGGGACTTCCATTTACTCAGTCCTGAAGGGTAATTCTGGGTGGAATAGCTCTAGGGCCTGAGGCTGTGCCCCTTTCTCTATCTTCCCCGCTGCAGCGTAACAAAGCCAAATCTGGGAAGTTGACTGGAAATGTTTTTACTGAGTGTGCCTAGTACAGGGAAACAACCATGTGGGTTTGTCTTCTGCTCTCGGTTATCCATTTGGTCACTAGCTGTGACACAGATGACCCACTGTCCAAAAAGTGGGTGAATGGGGCACTATTGCCAGGAAGTGGTTGGCTAGCCAGGGACCACTTTTCCATCTTCCACCCCAACCTCCCTACCCCTTGCACTTAAGAATATGGATGGGAGGTCTTGGTCAAAGCCTTCGAAAATTGGCGAGCCTTCATCTGACTTCCCTTCTGCCAGCTAAATGTGGAGGACCAGTGATCCTGGAGGGCGCGGGAGCCATAGGGTAGAAAGAGCTGGATTCCAGAGTCACTACACTAAGAAGAAGCACCCCCACCAGGAACATGGCCTTAGGCTACTACCTAAGTGAGAAATGGACTGTATTGAGTTTGAGGCATCACACGTTTGGTCTATTTGTTACAACAGTTTAATATCACTCCAATTGGTAAACTAGGGGGCAGAGTCACACCCAGTTTTTCGTTGACCTGGAAAAGGTAGGAGTCTGAGGTTGCCTGGCATACATACACCTCCACAAGTGTGTTCCAGTGTCTTGGAGTGAGGAGGGAACACGGGGCCTCCGTTTTGGCTCCTGGTGATGATCCCCAAGGCCTTATGCTATTGAGGCCATTGGGCTCTTGGCTTGTCCATGAATAACAAGGATCATTTGATCCTATCTCTCCATCCCTTTGATCTATTGTCTATTGATTCGAATCACAATTGAGATGAGAGGGTGAGTGATTGGTTAACACATCGATACATGCTCTGGAGACTTAGGGTATGGAAATGAGGAAACAGTATATGTGATGTCCCTGGAGGGATGACACGTCCACTGCCAGGTAAGTTCCATCCAGCCCATGGATGGGAAGATGGTGTTAATGGCTGGGACACTGCCTCAGGCCGGGAGAGCTGACAGGGTACTGCAGCCATCAAACACCGGAACAGATCGCACTCCCAGTAAAAACATTTCCAGTCCACTTTCCAGATTTGGCTTTGTTACTCTTCAGTGGGGAAGATGGAGAAAGGGGCACGATATGAGTGCAAAGAATGGGGGAGGGGGGCAGATGCTCACATGGGATAGTAGACGTAACACATGGTAGGTGTGCAGACCTACAAGAGTTAACACCTAGCATGCCTCTGAAAGCCTACCACGGAGTATTATTCATAACCCAGATTCTTTCCTCTGAACCATCTCTTGGGTACCATGCTTCTCTTTATGACCAGATTCCAGCAGACAAAGGGAAGGAAAGAGGAACCACTGGGCAAACAGCTGGGACTTAAAGACTTAGAATTTATTTATTATTATTATGGAAAATCTCCCTGGTATTTTTTTTTTTTTGACTGGTATCTGGAAGGTGGCAGCCAGTCATAGACAAGCACACAAGGTGGGATGGTTTGCCCCCCTGCAGCACAGCTAATAATCGCCCATAAAAGATCCCTCCCTACTTCTTCCCTTCCTCCCATCTCATTTTGTGGGTGAGAGAGGTGACTCGCGAGGTCATTCGCGCCCCTGCCCTGGTACGTAGCCTTTAAAATAATTAGGGCCACAGTTTGAACCACAGTCCACACTAACACGGCCCTAGTCTGGGGGGAGACAAGGTTGCCAGTAGGTAAGAGAAGAAATTTACACAAAATACAAGTATATGTATTTTTTGCAACAAAAGAAACTATTTATTTGGAATATGCATTACCAGTACAAATTAGGAGACTGTAAAACCTACACCGTGTTAGTATCATTAGAGAACACAAAAGTTCAGTTGGAATCAAAAGGGACAGAAGCCTGTGCTCTCACAGAAGCAGAAAAGCTTAAACTTTCAAAAACCAAAACAGAGCAGAACTTTGCAGGTTTATACTCTGAATAATAAGAACAGGGGAGGGGAGCAGGAGAATAAAACCAACCACCAAAGGAAAGCACTTCAAAATAATTGGAAAGAAAGGAAGTAATAAGAGAGAAAAGGGGGGAAAACATTGAATGTTTTATTAATTTTAACAAAAGGAAAAAAAAAAGTTTACAAAAAACAGAAGATTCCAGAAAGCTCTGAGCTGGGTGTTGAAACCAGAAAGGTGATGTGAAAAGCTCGTCATTATTTTGTTGACTCAGGAACAAGAGGGCAGGTGTCTGGGCAGAAACACCTGTGAAGCACTGTTCCACAGTCCCGCATCTTTGCCTTCACTTTTCTTGCTTACGTTCTGGTTGCTTTCTGGACACTTATAATCATTTGTTGAATGCAAAGTGTTTCAAATAAGTTTCTTCCAGATAATACTGCTTTCTTTTCTCCTATTAACTAATAAAAACATTCCAAATCACGCCGGGTTAACTAGTTTTAAGCAGCCACCTGAATCGGAGGGTAGTAAGAGCTATGCTGTCAAGGAGTCCAACTTCACCTCTCAGCATTACAAGGAGAGCCCTGGGTCAGGCTCAGTTTCTCAACTCTTCATCCAAAATCGGGACTCAAAGAATCAGCGGGCCGACGGACCCCCGGGACGGCTTGCTGGATCTAGTCTACGTAGCCAGTGGTCCATCACACCAGGATTTCCTGTCGGATGCTTCTGGGAGAAAAGATCCTCTCTAGTTGTAAGAGGGCTCATGGAATGTTGTTATTAATCAGGAAGAAAGAAAAGAAAGCATTTCGTTGCGACATTCACAGTCAACAAAGGCAAGAAGTCTCTCCCTACTGTAGACAAGGTCTCCTGGACCAAGTCCTTGAATTTTTAAAGGGCCAAAAGGAGAACCCAGGTCCCTGACTGTTTTTCTCAGGGACTGCAGGAGTGCCACACACTCTGGAAATGCACGTGAGTGATGTGACATCCGCATGGGCTTCATCTTTGTCGTTGAAGTCAACTGAATTCCGGAGCAAAGTAGAAGTACAAGGAAGCCACCTAACTCTACAAATGTCATCTTTTCACATCACCTCGTATACATATTTAAGGAATCAAAACAGCAAGATCATAATCCTGGCAATTAAAAAAAAAGCCCCCCCCCAATAAAACAACCAAAAATAACACAAAACATATTTTTTTTTATATTTTAAAGAGCAGGAATAAAGAAAGAAAAGAATTTATTTCTGGGTCTCAAAGTTAATAAACATAACGTGTTAGGTTGTACCTATTATGCTCACTATCCCAACCTTTTTTTTTTTTTTTTTAGTTTACAAAATGAATTACTGTCACTTTTAAACATTGTGAAACAGGAAATGAATGTGCACAACTCGACACTTTTCTAGCATTCTTGAACTAATTCACAAATGCAAGAAAATAAAAGAAAAATGGGGGAAATGATTAATGTAGGTAGTTTGGTGTTAAAAACGAACGCAGGAATGATGTGTATTGTCACAGAAAGAAGAGGGGAAGCCCCCCATCCTGTTTTGCGTGCTATGAGGGTCATTTTTAAAATTTTTTTTATTATAAACACTATTAAATTCAGACCGCTTTTTTGGTTTTTTTTCTTTATCTGAATATACAAGAACATTCATTATCAAATGTTCATCATCAATACTACAAAGAACGAGACACAAGTCGCAAGAAACAATGGAAAATGTTAATAAAGCTGAAAGAATTGTTGAGTATTTTTTTTGTATTTTTTTAAGTTTTTTTTAAATTTGAGTTTCTGTAGTTTCATCTTTTTTGGTATCGAAGTCAGGTTTTTCTGGGCAGAAAAATAAAACTCAGAAGGAAGGGGGGGGGAAGGTATGTGAGAGAAGGCAACCAGGAACTCAAGAACCACCACCACAGCAAAAAAAACAAAAACAAAAACAAAAACAAAATAATAATAAAAAAATCACTGTTGAGGAAGGTGCCACTTGGCAAAAGTACTGCACAGGCGTCAATTCCACGCCAGGGGGAGGAGTTAGGGGTGAAAGGAGGATGTGATGGAGAGTTAACAAGGTGGGCAAACCCAAGGGCTAGTATTACTCAGGGGAAATCAGCTGCCAGGGAAAACAGGGCGCTCCCACTCCCATTAGAAAATGCAGGAGTCCTGGGGCACATTTTGGTATCTGTAGGATGGACCTAATACGAATTCCCAGGGAGCTATATTTCCAGAGGCACGCTCTTTCCATCCCCTTCCTTCTGCTTCCAGAGTTCCCATACTTTGCTCACTGTCGGGGATCTGGCGGTTGCCGTGTTGGACGTGATGGTGGGCATGGAGGGGAGGTGGTGGGCAACTGGAACCGAGGTCTGAGGGAAGTAAGTGCTGAGTGGGGAAGATGCTGGGAGAGGTGAGAATCAGTGCAAACTCCTGCGGGGAGAGAAGCCGTCTGTGCAAATGCAGCTCTGCTCTGATCTGTTTCAACACCTTAAAATGGCAATCATTCAACCCAAATCTGGAATCGCTCTTCCGGTTTCCAAGAGAACCCTTTCGGGTCTCTTCTGCACTTAGCGCAGTCAGGCATGTGACCCAGCCGTACCCCCGTGTGGGTAGTTTAGGTCCCTGACCCTGAGCAAGGTTCTCCAAAGGCTCTATGACTACGGAGTTGTCACAAGACGGCTCTTGCCCGGAAGCCCCTCTACCGGGCTCTGTTCTGATTGGGGCACAGGTCAGCAGACCCAGTCTTTCCACTGCTCCTAGTCACCAAGGCACAATTCCATCTTGCCAAAGATTTACCTTTTTTTTTGCCTTTCCTTTAAATTCATGCACCTTCCAGTTTCTTAGGGAACCTCTCTCTTCAACACACACACAGGAGCAATTTCTATTCATTACCGTAGCGCCATGCACAATTTCCACGACCTCGTTAGCGGGCCATCCTTACCTCTCAGGGGCTTCTATGTCTCCCACAGGCCTCTCAAGCAGAGTGGATGTGACAGGGGACTGAGTACTTACAAGGCCACGTACTGGGTTCAAGTACAAACTAAGAGAACTGGGTCCTATTTTTCTAGGTTGGACGCTTATCTCTAGTCTATGAAACCAAACAGACCAACACAAACAAAAAACCAACAATAATACCCCTTCTCCCCTTTGTCACCACGGCAGTGACGTCAGGGGTTACCAGATGGTTGTGATGGCAACCAGAGGTTGGAACAGCAAAACCATATATTGCCCCTCCATGGCACGAACCGGTTTACCTCAGGGATGACACTTCCCCTGACTTCACATGTACAAATGGGATATGAACGAAATCAATTTCCTCAGTCTCTCACAAGCCTCTTGGTAAGCCAGGCATCACAATCCCCATCTTACAGATGAAGACAATGAGGTGCCGAGAGATGTGGCCACCTCCCCACTTAGGTTACAGAGCCACCACGTTGATCGCTGGCACAGCTGAAGAATGTAAGCTCAGGTGACACTACAGAAGAGCTTTCTAGTACATACTGTCCTCTCAGATAGTCCCAGGGAATGAAAACCACTGTGACAATTTCACGGAGGACGTTACCTCCCCTTTCCCCAGCGCTCCTAGGTCTTCACGTTAAGCTAGCAAAATCTGCCCGAGCCGTGTTCTTACGCAACCCCTCCAGTACCAGATTGTGGGGCCATGTGACACTTCGGAGAATTAATGCAACGTCCCTAATAAGAAAACAAAACCAGAACAGAACCAAATCCGTTCCGGACATTGTAAGCACTGTGTGTGGCTCCCTGAGCGCTCCAGAGGTGGCGGGAACAACAGTGTACGCTGCAAACCTGGCCTCCATCACGATCAAGTCCTGTGTGTAGGTCATTCCGCTGTGTGCAGGCTGGGGGGCTGCAGGTCGGGGAAGCCCCAGGCACATACTCTTTCTCTGGGTCAGCAACCTTCACTCAGAGCGGCTAACTGCCTCTCCTGGGCTCACCAGGCAAATTGCTGTGGCTGCTAACGTGGGTCTTGGCATGTGGCATGTGACTGATCTTGAGAAAACCAATGTGTGAGGCTGTGCCTGTGCTGACGTGTGCCTGGGTGTGCGTGAGCACGTGTGTGCACGTGTGTGTGTGTCTGTGAAGGTTTCGTTGAAGGGTTTCAGGGTAAGAACCTTCTACTCCTTAGTGGCTCATTCGTCACCACGCCCACTCAGATCTGGCTTTGCCGTAGGTGCTGGACATTGCTTGCTAAGTGTTGCGTGGTCTCCAAAGACTATGCCTCTGAAACCAAGAGCTGTTAGGAGGAGGAGGAGGCCTCCAAGAATTCTCCCCTGCTGGTTGCTTACGTCCTCTCCTGCGGCTCCACTTCCTGCCTGGGAATCGACCTAGTGGAGCCGAGACCGGAAAATGTGGCACCTTCAGAAGCCCAGCTGCGGCAGTCTCCGGGGCACAGCTGGGGCTGGGAAGGAAGAGGAGGAAAGTGTTCTAAGCAGAACCGGCCCAGGGAGGGAAGAGCGAGAGGAGGCAGGGGGCCTGGAATGAGTGGGGGCAACGTGGCGCATTCCTGCGAAGAGGTAGTGAGAGTAAGAAGAGAAACAAGAGAAGGGCTGCCTTAGTTAACAGAGGGAGCGAGGGATCCGAGTGAGGTAAATTTGGCTCCTCAAACCACCAGCGTGAAAACATACAAACACGTTTATTATTTTCTTTGTATTTTCTTTCCTCTTTAAATTCCTCTAATTGTTGAAAATATCCTTCCGTGATGTAATAGCGGGCAGGGACCCAGGGAGTCTAGGACAGAGGGAGGGGGCAGGAAAGATGGCGGACACCAGGCTGACAGCTGGAGGCAGGGAAGGGTGGCTTCTACCCAGAAAAAAAAGGGAAGAGAGTATAAAGAAGTGTCCAGATTGGCTGAAATAGCATCCCAAAGAAGAGAAGAGAAGGAGACTCTTATTGTGTTTGCTGAGTGCTTCGACCTCCAGTCTGACCGCTTCAGCGTTGGGAGAGAAACCCTCCCTCCTGGCCCTGTCCCGACTGGGGCACAGGGTCAGCCGGGATGCGACTGCTGGGAGATCAGTTGGAGGTATCAGAGTGAACACTGCCAGGGCCTTCTGTAGGGGAGGTCACTGATGAAGGGGTAGTAGCATCCTGCCAACCTCCATTAGCCTAGAAGGGAAAAAGGGAGAGAAGTCAGTCCTCTGAGATCGGGCGGCCATATTGAGCAGACAACGACAACAAGGCAACTTGTGTAAGGGGCCTGGCACATGGGCGGCTCTTCTTGTGGTTGATGATGCTCCCTCCACCCTCGGATGAGTACGGGTCCTCCCAGTGAGCCTTTGGACCCAAGCTGACGCCTCCCACTTCTTGAAGATAACTTTAAATCGGTCAAAGCCATCCAATGATCATTGGGTGTGCTCCAGGGGAAGGACGGGTCAAGGGCCCCCAGTTCTAGTTCTGAGTCTGGCAATGACTAGCTCTTGACTCTGGCGAAGGACTTCCACCCCTTTGGCCTTAGGTTTCCCAAGAAGGTTGCCCAAATGCTTTTTAAACCCTTTCCCCCGGCATGTTCCTTATGTTACGGGATTCCAGGCACCTGTTCTGTGCAAGGCTCTGTACTACGTGCTCTTGGGTATATATAACGATGAGCGAGATACAGTGCATGTCCTCAAGGACGGGGAGAAGACACGCACACGAATGAACTCTAACTCAAGGCAGAGCCTAATAAATGATACAGCCCAGGTGTTACGACAGTCCAGATGAAGACAATATCCCATCTTGTTGGAGCATCAGGAGAAGCGTCAGGGAAGAGGTACTCTTGGAGGTGAGCCACGAAAAGGTCAGAGGTGATTGAGGCGAATAGAACAGGTGAAACAGAGGCGGACTAGGGACTGGCCCACATAAATACATCTAGAGAGGTGGCGAGCCGGGAAGCTCTAAGTATGATCTCCACTTATAGATCTTTTTTCTACGGTTCTAAATCCAGAATCATCCAAACTATGGGATTGTTCGCAAAGGATCGGTTTTAATGAGCACCGTTGCCAGAAATATCTCACCACTGAAATATCTGAGGAGTGATCTGTTAAGAGTGGTTAGTTCGTGATCCGTACGTAATCCGTGACTCTGTATGTATTTTAAAGCACTGAAATGGAAGTGTCCTAAAGTGCATTTTTCTCCCCAGTTGCTGTGTTCCCTTGAAGCTGACATACCTCACCTCTGAAAATGTTAATGTTGAACAGACCAGGTCTTAGGCAGGCTTGGTAAATTATTTTCTACTGTACTGTCCACGCATATATTTGGGGTACCCGGGGCAGGTACTATTGCTGCCATTTGGGAGGGACCCCAGCTTCTACTCTAGCATAATCCACCGTCCTTAGAAGCATGCTTGACGCCTGGGTGCTGGCAACTCTGGGTTCACATTTCATTCGTAAGAAAGCAGGGGGGCGAGAGAAACACAGGCTTCTGGATTCTGGCTGAGACACACCAGTTTCTTCACCTTTGAATCTAGACTCCTTTTTCTCTGCTTTCTCATCCACTGGGCTTTCTTTTTCACTAGCTCACCCAAATGATGATCCAATTTTTCCAGGGAAGCCAGGTGCTTAATTCATAGCAGCTCCCACCAGTTACCTCTGCATGAAGATAGGATCACCTGCCCCCCCGCCCCCCACCACACGTCACTAAAGAGCAGGTCTGGATACTAAGAGCACAAAAGGTCATCCTGGGCAATCCACCTCAATCGGGGATTCACGAATCATTGCTCACAAAAATCCAAATCTCCATCTCCTGACCTAGTCAGGTAGCTCCTCCCACCCCCCTCCCTGCACAGCCCATTTCTCCTGTTGTTGGCAAGGGATCAGATGGTGAATAAGGAGGGGGAAATGGGAATTCTTTCCTTGCTATCTTTCTGGGGTCAAGACGCTGCAGTTATGCCCAGAACAAGAAGAGAATTAATTCGGCATCCTAATGCAGGCTGGTCACAGAGCTCAGCCTCCCTTTCCAACCAAGAACATGTATTCTGGTGCCATTTTAGGCAGATTGGGAAAAGCGATTGCATTTATTTTACCCCAAAGAACATCCCTTAATGTCATCGTTCATCCTTCCTGATTATACGAGCTTATATCATATTTTCAAATATAATATCTGCAATTCTATACGCAACGTAATATTCGGAAAAGAGAAAAAGCATGAAATATAAAATGGAAACACTTATAATCCTACCACTCAAAGACAGTTAGCTGTTAGCATCGTGAGACCTGTCTGCCCTGACGATCCTTTTTTATCCGTGGGCGTCTACCAGAGGGACAGGTAAGTAAATAACTAAATAGACGGCTATGCGTGTGCATGTGTATGTGTGTTTGCCGAGTGGTGCAGGTTTTTCAGAAAACTTGATGGAAGTTCCTTAAGTACGGTGTCACGATGCAGAGAGCAAAGTGCTGGAACAAGAGGAAACAAACGCTTGTGTCTTAGACTCAACCTGGGGGGAGACAAGTAGATGCGGAAAAGCAGGCGGTGTCCGAGGCGCAGCACACGGCGCCGAGAACTTTCACGACCTTGCTCATAATGCACCACTATTACCATTATTTAGCCGTGCTCCGATTTCATTAAAATAACAATAAGTGGTGCCCCCCAAATAAAGCCATCAATCAAGAAAATGAGCCCTGTGGCGTCTCATTAGGAGGGAGCCGGCAAGGCGTGCGACTTTGACCAGAAGATTCAGGGAGGCTCCTTTTTGATTCGTGTCTGAGATGAAATAACTCGAACAGGAGACCATGTGAGAAAAGTTCTGTTTTCTCAGACCGGTGCACAAGATGCCAGAGGGTCCAGGGAACTCACAGATGGTGGAGACACGAATTATTTCAAGCCGATATCAAAACTGGCATTTTAATTAGGCTAGCTGGCCCGGCGAAGAAGACGATACAAGACCTTCTATTAAAAACAGATAAATAAAATCAATCTCTTCAGCTGCCTTTTATTCCATAAACACCCCCACGCAGACTGGGTGACCAGCTGTCCCGGCGCGCCCAGGGCCCGCATCCCTCGTGCGGAACACTCAAGTCCCATATTCCGGAAACACCTGCCCCAAGGCCCAGGGACACCAAGGGGGCTGCTCATCATCCCCCAGGGTGTCCCCCTGCCATGACCCCCTACGTCTTGCCACATTCAGGACCCCGCGGACTCTGGCTTTCCCGTTAGAGGACTGCAAGCCCTTTCTGGAACAGGCATCCCCTGTGACAGCGCGGGCTGGAGACTCTGCTTCTCGGGGGCACTGCTTGCCCGGGCCCAGGGGCTGCTGCTCCCCTGCTGGAACCTCCGCGATCGCCAAGTGCGAGGTGGCCCAATGCAGCCGGGTTCCCTGTAAATCCCGCTGGCACTTCGAGCTGCGGTTCCAGCCACGATATGAGCCGTTCAGGGGCCGCTCCATCTTGGGAACCAGCTGACCCCGCTCCCGGAGCACCCACCCCGGGGAGCCATCCTCCTCCTCCGACTGCAGGTGCACAGCAAGTGGGAAACCCCGTCTCTGTGTGTTTATCTCTGGAGCAGGAGCACGGAGAGTCCAGGAGAGTCCCTGACGGGCTCATTAGCCACCGGGCAGGGGCGGCGAGCAGCAAGCCTCATTGTTTTTGTATTTTCCTTCTGCACCCCAACTTCCACTCTCACTCGCCTTCGTGGCAGACGCGCTAACTTCGAAGAGCTGACGCTGGGAACGCACCCGGCCCTACGGGGGTGGGAAGGTGAATACGAGCAGCCCCGGTGTGAGAACGTGGACGCCTGCACCTCGGCCTCCAGGGAGCCTGCGGCCCGCAGGTGCTGGAGCCAGAGCCCAGCGCGCGACTCATCCCACCCGTGAACCCCGGGCCAGCGGCCGGCTCATCGTGGGCCCTCCTGGAGCGGGAGGCGAAGACAATATAAAACTAGGACTGGGTGATGGGCACCGAGGTGGGCACTTGATGGGATGAGCACTGGGTGTTATTCTATATGTTGGTAAATTGAACATCAATAAAAAATAAATTTATAAAAAAGAAAAAAACCCCCCAAAAATAGGACAAGATGCAGCCGGTTTCCTAGTTAAGAAAACCTGGACTTTCAAACACAACGTGAAGAAAGGTACACGGGGACAAACTGTTCCAGGACAAAAATGACTATTTGCATCCTGCCCGGATGCACTTGGCACATAACGGACACGTGCCCCAGGTGGCCGGGCTCCCCCTAACAGATAAGGCCCAGCCTTCGCGCGAGGGAGGCAGAGAGCGAGCTAGCCGTGAAGCCGGCGACGGAGCAGTGTGGACGTGGACGCCCCGCACGGTGTCTCCGAACCAAACACGAGAACTTCGCAGAAGGGCCCCGAAGCCCCGGCTTCTCTCTCCTCGCCCCCTTCCCGAGCCCCAGCAAGGGCCACCTGCCTCTCCCTCGCTGCGCAGGACGCAGAGGAGCGGCAGCCGCCGGGCTGAGTATCTCCGGGCCGCCCTCCGCTCCCTCCGGCCCTGCCTCTGAGCGCCCCTTCGCAGCACACGGTTGATGCAGAGAATTCATCACCGGATGTGACAGCCCAGGCGAGCCTGGCACTAAGAAACTCTCATTTGCAGCCCAGAAATCCGCGGAGGTGCCACAAACTGGCTGATGTCAGCACCAAGTGGAGCTCGATCTGCATATGGGCCAGATGCCATTTCCAGAGATGCCTTGGGTGTGGGTGTGGGGAGGCGCGGGGGGAAGGAAGGAACACCGAGCACCCCGACGTGCCCCCTCGGCCTCTTAGGCACGTGCACACACACGCACACACACGACACGTGCCTGCACGGGCCCACGCGGCCGCTCCCTATCAGCGGAGTCATTGGCTCACCCCTGGGGCCACATCCAGATCTTCCTCGCTTCCATGAGGACAGAGCTTGGGGTTCCTGCCGTGCGTGCACGTTTCCCAAGATCACACAGGCAGCGCTTCCCAAAAGCTGCTCGTGGGCAAAGTGGCGCCGTGGACAGGCCCCTCAGGGACACAATGTTCAAAGCCTCCCCAGAAGCTGCCCCGCGGTGCACGGGCTCCCCGGCCCCGACAACCCGCACACAGCAGCCTCCCCAGCTGCCACCGGAGCGCTCGTTCCAGGGTTTATGTCCCATCTCCCCACTTCACCTTCAGTGGCTTCCCCTTGGCCTCAGGGTGAGGCTCAGCGTCCTCA